ATGTATGTGTCCCTATTCTTGATGGATTTAATTCGTATGTTCAAATCACTTTTTCTTCCTCTTGTTAAAAAAAAAATCAAGTTGGGAAAGCAGATTAAAACTCACCTACAGATTACATGGTTGAGAAATTTTTGTCTGTTTGTTAGGCCAAACCCAGTTTATTTAAATCAACAAATAGGCCCTTTAAAGTCCATGGGATAAATTTATCTCATTCCCTGGAGTTACATCACAGCTGAGTTTCACATGATGGGACCACTCCCAAGAGTAAATTGAGCAGACAGGCTGACAACCCCCACTACCATTATCTGAATGACATTTGTCATTTCCCCTGTATTTCAACTTGTGTTTTCTTGCTTCCTGATTACCTGTCTTCCAGAAGAGGAGATACTTGGTTCACATCTTCTTGCCAATGAACAAATACAGTAAAACCTGGGCATAGTTGATATTAACATATACTGTGGCTTTAATGGGCCTATTTGTGTGATTTAAATAAACTGGTTTGGCCTAACAAATCAGATTTCATACAGTAGCCATTCCAAAAAAAGAGAACACATACTTTTTTTATTCCTTCCATTTTAGACACGTGCCCACTTCCATAAGGAGACATACATCTAGGTTTCAAGAAAAATAAAACAGAACTAATGATTGGAAGAGGTATAATATGGGGGGGTGGGGAAGACTCTGTTTTTAAGATAAATAGTGAAAAAATTAAGTTAAAAAACAGAATATTTGCAAATTTTAACAGGTTATGGATTTAAAATTTTTCTTTGTGACATTTAATTAAGCTATACAGGGATAATTAAATAGTCAATTTGTTCCAAACAGTACAATAATTTTCACCTGCAGAGCTCAAAGTACTTTACAAAGGAGGACAAGTATTTGTATCCCCATTTCACAGATGGGGAAACTGAGGTGCAGAAAAGTTGAGGTTCCTACTGAAGCTAGTGGCAAAGTGATTTGCCCTAGGTCACATAGTGAATCAGTAGCAGAGCCGGAAGACGTACCCAAGTCACCTGAGTTCCAGTCTTGTGCTCTGTCCATTGGACCACACTGTCCTGGCATGGCATATTGCTAGTTACTATTCTTGTCACTCTGATTTGTATATATAGTAATCTCGGGATTACTATCACCAAAATAACTAATATTGCAAACATAAATCACAATAGAAAATGTGATGATTACAAAGGAAAGATTATACACCTTACTCACTGTGAACAAATTATTTGAATCCACCTCATTTATAATAGTTTGGGCAGCTTTTGACATAAAAGAAGAGTATAATGCACGTGGTAACAGGTGTGTCTAATCTAATCTGGTCTTTCAGTATCATCAGAAAAGAGGCAAAGTATCTCTTTTTCAGGTTATCATATGTTCCACAGTGAAAAGGTTTTGAGATTCTATACATTGCTATAACAAAAGGAGGAGACGGTTTAAAAAATAAGGTCACCTCTGAGGCTCGTGAAAGAGATATTAAAATAAAGAAATGTAATTTATTTCCAATTTTTCAAGTCTCCAAAGTGACCATTAAAAAAAAAAAAAAAAAAGATTGCACTGTACTAGAGCGTGCAGCAAACTGAAAAGCTGACGCGCTGGCTGTCGCCCTGGCCCAGGCCATTAACCCTTTGTTACTTTAAGGTTAGATTACTGCAGTGCACTCCCCAAGGGGCTGCATCTTTCAGAAATTGCAGAATGTGGTGGCCCACTTGTTAAGCAAGCTTACATTTACACCTGGAATATAGTAGTAGTAGTAGTATTTATGTATTTATTTATATCCCTGTAGCACCAGGGAGCCCTAGTCATGGAACCCGCTGGGCTCTGTACAAACACAGAACAAAAAGACAGTCTAACTGAGTTCAGGGTGAAATTTCTGATGTCTAACTTCCCATTACCTCCCCCATAAAGCCCTAAATCAGTCTTGATAAATTCTTCACCCACATGCCCTTAGCAAATAAAACATGGGCAAATAAAATATTTGTCTTTTATTATCACCAATCATATGGATACAGGATAGGTGAGTAGATTTTATTCCCAGGACGGTATGTTTTCCCTAAAATTTTGCAAGCCAGCCCTAAAGATCTGGCTTCTAACTACCATAGGCCTTGATCCTGCCAATAACACTAACAACTTTTATGCATTAAGTCCTGACGTGTGTATTTGCAGGATAGGGCCTACATTTGATCTTGCATTCCTTGTGCATCCAAAGCACCTGGAGAAGTCAATTCCAGGAATGCAGTGCATCTACAGTATGTACATTCTAGGACTTTTTAGAATAATAACTCTTGGGCTGTCTGTGTTTTATGGGTTTTGTCTTGTTTATTTCACTGCAATTACTTTGGAATTAGGTTTGTTTATAGCAGCTAGTGTTCAGAGCATGTGATTTTGGAAACTTGGTTCTGTTTCCAACTCTGTAACTGACTTACTGTATGACCTTAAGCAACTCACTTGTTGGTCTCGGTCTGGACTCAGACAACACTTATGCATATGAATAATCCCATTAAATCCAAAGGACTACTTACCTGTGTCAGTGTGTGCAGGATTGTGGTTCTCAGGATTAAAGCATAGCACATACACGTCACTTAACCGCTGTATCCCAGTTTACCCCTCTGCAAAACTGGCATAATAATGCTGACTTCACAGGGGTGCTCAAAGGCTTAATTTAGTAAAAATTTAAGGTCCTTTGAAGCATGGTACCATATAGTGCAAAGTGTTGTTAAGATGTTTTATTAATATCTGTGTCTCATTTGCCTCGCCTGTCAGAAAGGGGTAATAACACTTACCCACCTCTGATGACAAGTGCTGTGCAAGTGCAAAGTGTTTTTATTATATTGTACCTGTCTTTGGCTATACAAATCAACTTTAACTGTTGGCTTCTTGGATAGATTTTTTTAAATATTTCAATTTAGTTATTTATTGTACACAACCATGGTCTTAGGCAGAGGTGGGCAAACTATGACCCGTGGGCCAGATGTCCTGCCCGGCCCTTGAGCTCCCGGCCAGGGAGGCTAACCCCCGGCCCCTCCTCTGCTGTCCCTTCCCCCCCCCCCCGCAGCCTCAGCTCGCCATGCGGCCAGCGCTCTGAGCGGCAGGGCTGCGAGCTCCGGCCGGGTGGCGCAGCTGCCAGTCCTGCTGCTCCGAGTGGCATGGTAAGGGGGCGGGGAGTGGGGGGGTTGGATGGGTGTGGGAGTCCTGGGGGGCCTGTCAGGGGGCAGGGAGCGGGAGGGGGGTTGGATAGGGGGTGGGATCCTGGGGGGGCAGTTAGGGACGGGGGTCCTGGGAGGGGGCAGTCAGGGGACAAGGATCAGAGGGGGTTGGGTGGGTCGGTGGTTTTGAGGGGGGCAGTCAGGGAGCGGGAAGTGGGAGGAGGCGGATAGGGGGCGGGGGCAGGCTATTTGGAGAGGCACAGCCTTCCCTACCTGCCCTCCATACAGTTTCAGAACCCCAATGTGGCCCTCGGGCCAAAAAGTTTGCCTACCCCTGGTTTAGGCCTCCATCCTGCAGTCAGATACAGGGCCTCTGGACAGTCACAGGGATTGACACTGAACAATCTGATTCCAGGGTTTAGCTCTGACTTTTTCTGGGTATTTTCCAAACCCCCTTTTATTACCCATCTGAAAAGCATCTTTTATGCAAGAACCTCTTGTATTCATTATACATTTTCTTTACGAAGGGCCCAACCCCCTGCTCCACCTGCACCCTACTAAAAACAAATCTGCCACTAACTTCAATGCAAAAGGAGCCACAAATAACAGTAATCATCTAGCATGCAGAAAAACAAAAATGTCAAGAATGAGACTGCAAACTCTTTTTGAATGCGAATGCAAACCATGTCAACACACACACACACACACAAAAAAAAATTCTATCCAGCTACCCCTAACAGCAGCGTCTCACTGAGAAAGATCCTCTGGAGTCAATCTCCAGGAGCAATCATTTCCTTGGTGCACTGTATCTTGATCAGGTTTTAAAAAAGATCATGGCTGTATTGGTTGAATGTGATGTGAATTCTATACACTTCCCCTGCCCGCTCCCCTCCTCTCTCTCCAGACTTCAGGGGGAAAAAAAAAATAGCTTTTAGAAACCCGAGCTGTTGTTTGCGCAACACAATCACTTTTTTTTTTTTTTTTAAAGCGACTGGGTGTCTAGACGCCCACGTGATTGGGGGCCGGGGCTGGGCAGCGATACTGCGCACTGCGAGTCACCGAGGCAAGGCAGCGAGGAGGCTGTGGGCTGGCTGGAGAGAAGAGCTGGCGGATGGCAGCAGCAGCCGCCCAGACGCAGAGGCAGAGAGACCCTGGGCACTGCTAGGTAATAGCCACCTTGGAAACCCCCCCTCCTCTTCGCAGGCCACCCCCTCCAAAGGACAAGGCACTCCCCCCGCTCTCGCTTAAGGGAAGAAAGAAGGTGTGCGTGGGGGAGACAGGATCTTCTGCACTGAGCTCACTGTGAAGGAAGAAGGGAGTGGAAAAAAGGAGGGGAAGGAGGAAAAAAAAAAAGAAGCAAAGCAAACCAGGCGAGCCAAGCGAAAGGAGCTGCTTTTTTGTGTGTGTGCTGGTAGCCGATGCAAGGACTGGAAAGGCTGCCTTGGAGGAGGGGAGCTGCAGCCAGAAGAGAAGGAAGACGAGCTAAAGGCTGCATTAGCATTTACTAGAGAGAGGGAGAGACTGGGGGGGCTGGTGATCCTTTCAGCTCCTGTCATTATAGGATCATCCCCTGTCACTTCTCACCCGTCCGTCGCTTTTATTTTTTAAGGGCTGGGTGGGAGGAGAGGTGGGGGCCACTGTATTTTTTAAAAAAAACCCTGTCCCTAGCTCCTGGTCTTTCTGAAAGACAGGCAGACAGAGAGGGAGCGGATCAAGCCTTTTGGAAGGAAAGACAGACTCCCCACTTTTTTTTAAAATACATAGATCTATATTAGCAACCGCCTTGAGGATTTTTTGTGTGTGGATTAAAACCTTTGATCAGAAGAAGGAAAAAAAGGAACAGGACGAGTTGGGCTTCTTTTTCTTTTTTTAAAGGATGTAACACTCTTGGATGCATTTTTATTTTTTAAAACATTTTGATGATTAATTCAAACGTCCACATTTTAGGGTTTTAAAAAAATGCTACGTTATTTTCGCTCTTTTTTAAAAAAAATCCACCCTATGTTATAGAAATTCCTTTTTTCCCAATCCCCCCAAAAACCTTCTTTGATGGAATCTGTGGATATGTTATTACTAAGGAAATAGTGTTTTTTTTTTAATCTTGTGCCTTGGTTTTGCAACAAAAATTTTTTTTGGGGGGGTGGGGAAGACCTTTATTCTTTCTTTTTCTTTTTTATTTAAAACAGTCATCCTCGTCTGAAACCAAATGTGATCTAAAGGTTTTGCAATCGCTTTGACAGACCGGCAACGCGAGAAGATCTGTTATTCCCTTATCTGCTTGGGGGGCATGTTTTCTGCAATTCTTCTGTTACACTGAACATTGAATCCCCCCCCCCCCCCCTCTTTCAGTTTATATTTTTCCCAGTTCCTATATAAAGGTGGAAAATAAGATTTTCAGTGGATTTTTGAAGGATTTGAGAGAGACAGAGGAAACCCCCCAACCCTTTAAGAGACTGGCATATGTTACAGATTGCTTTGGCTCTTCCACAACCACCACCACCCACCCTCCTCCCCACTCCATCCCTATCATTTCAGGCTGCTTGTGTTTGCTGCCTGGACTCGGATCCCGGATTCTTCATGATTTGCGGACGACATGCTCGTTTTTTAGCCGGGAAACCTTCTTCTCGTCCCGCATGTTCAGGACCAAACGATCGGTGCTCGTCCGGCGACTCTGGAGGAGCCGTGCGCCCGGCGGCGGGGAGGAGGAGGAAGGTGAGCCCGGTGAAACAGCAGCGGACAGCCGGGCGCATGGGGCTGGAGGCGGCCGGGGCTGCTGCATGGGCAAGTCGGGGAAGATCACCAAGGCTCACCTCGGCTCGGAGGCGGAATTGAAAGCGCTGACCCACGCGGTCCTGAAGAGGCTGAAGGAGAAACAACTGGAGGTGCTCTTGCAAGCGGTGGAGTCCAAAGGGGGCGCGCGGACCGCCTGCCTCCTCTTGCCCGGCAAGGTGGACTCCAAGCTGGGTCAGCATTGGTACTCTCTCCCTTTGCTGCTGTGTAAAGTATTCAGGTGGCCCGATCTCAGGCATTGCTCGGAAGTGAAGAGGTTATGTTGCTGTGAATCTTATGGGAAAACTCACCCGGAGCTGGTCTGCTGCAATCCCCACCACCTCAGCAGGCTCTGTGAACTAGGTATGGCTGAAGGGGCACACACAAACTCCAGAGCTGGGGTGGGGGGGGTAGGGGTGGCGAACGGGGGGGGGGCTGTTGTATGAACAGAAAACCGGGCAGGGATAGTACAAAATTGGTTCTTAGGCTGGTCAGATGATCCATGATATTGTCTGTGTTTGTGACACATAATGGCCGAGGCTTCCCACTTTTACTCCGGCCACATTCCCACGTAATCCTATGGAAGTGCTGTCTGGGTTAGGGTTGCAGTTTTTGCCTGCCTCTCTTCTGGCACGGCGGGTTTTCTTTTTGTCAACGCCGTGTGTGAATTCATACCTGCAGTAAAACAAGGATGTGGTTCACTACTGTATTTGTGGAGAAGGCTGTGCGCAAAAAGGGAAATGTGTAGGTGCCTTGAACCCGTCAAATGATATTCAGAAGGTAATTTTGCCTTATGTCGGGCTGATGTTTTGCAGAGAGGTCCCAGGGAAGAGTCATAATCTAGGTCTGCTTTGCTTTAGAAAATGAATCCCTTGATCTAATGTTTAACAGAATTTCCAGCCAGTCTGGGATTTACAAAGCAACCCAGCATTGGAAGTTAGTGGTTCACAAATCCTCCACCACCCCTTAACAAGAGAACGCATAATTTATGGGCTCCAGTTTGTCCGATGCAAGCATGCTTCCCTCTCCTGCAGTCAGCAGACTTCGCTTCCCAAATAAGACCCAGAAAAGTTTCACAGCGTTTGATCCGCCAGTGGCAAAAAAGAAAAAGAAGGAAAGTTTTCAAATGCCATTTTCTTTTGTTAATGGAAATGGGTTGTTGTTGTTTTTTTTGGCACGTTTAACTCCCATGCTACCTACCCGATGGCCTAAAAGAGCGATCCCTGACTTGCATTCCACCCCCCGCCCGTGTTTAAACATTGCAATTACTTGTAAACTTTGCTTAGTTGGTGTCGAATAGAAATCATCCCGTTCTGAGTAGTGGGGAGAGTTGTGGGAGGGGGAGAGAGGTAAACGGCAGCACTTGAATTTTTTTTCTTGCCATTTCTTTTTTCCCTTTTCTGTGAAATGTGAAATGTGTGTGCAGCTAGCAAGGATTATCTGGCAGTCTGGATCAGTTGGTGATTTCCAGTGCTGGAGTGTTTTAGCCGAGCCAAGGAGGCCCTGATCAGACAGCCAGAGTAGCAGATAGCAGGGAGACTGGCGCCAGGCGGCCCCTTTTGTTTATCTGACAGCTAAATATCAAGGCAATCACCGCCTAGCTGCCCTGCCTCCAACCCCCAGAGCTAAGACAAACAGTTTTGCTAAAAGAATGCCACTGTTATCATAAGTTCCTATCTTTTTTTCTCATGGCTCTGCCTTTATTTTCTCTATGCTTTTCTAATTCCAGAGTCTCCCCCTCCACCCTACTCCAGATATCCAATGGATTTTCTCAAACCAACTGGTAAGTAGACCTTTTAAAAGTAGGCTACTGTCTTCAGATAAAAAGGGAAAACATGCCTTTCTCGGGGGGATGTCTCCTTCCTTTGTTATACTTCTTACACATTTCACTTTTGGTCTGTTTCTGTGGGATTTTTGCCCCTTTGCCACCCCAATGATTTAGTATATGATTTGGCTAAGAAAACCTCTAGTTTTAAAACCCAGGAACTATAGTAGGTAGTCCATTTACATTGTTGCCTTTTCTAGATGTACTTGTACCAAGTAACTTGAAAACTCAGGATGGGTATGCACATAAAAATAATGTGAGTCAGTAGGTTTTGCCAACGTTGCTTCATGAATATCTGCAAGAAGTATAAACTCTTCCTAATTCAGGTTACAATTGTAAGTAGTAAATGCAAAATGCATGACTTGTCAACTCACTGTATTTGAATTCTAATGAACTTAGATTGGTACAAGGTACAGCAAAGGATTCTAGGAACATAAATTTTTGTTGAATAAGGATACAAATAAGTGTTGGCAAATGTGGTTGTATAAATCTTCCGTTTACAAAAAAAATCATCTGTAATTAAGCATTACCAAATTAAAAAAATATGGAGGGGAGCTAAAAGTTTCTAACACAGCTCTTCATGCCTGTTGCTTGTAATTGAATGGCATCATGCCAGGGCAGAAGCCCATTTGAGGCTGGCACCAAGCTCTGTTGCGGTTGTCTGCATAAACTTCTGGTTGGCAGCAAGCTCGCCCTGTGTTAGATAAATAGGACTGGCACTGTGGAAGGAGACAGGTTTAGTGAAAATCGGAAATGGGGATGAAATCAGGGAGGTGCAGAGCTCCACCAAGCCCCTTCATATCTTTCTGAAGATGAATGAATGGATCTAAAGTATTGATTATAACACAATTGTCTTTCTGGTTGTGTCCTAAAGTCATGCAGCACCATATGTAAACTTAGTACTTTACTTTTAAAAAGGGAGTTTAAAATAGCTTTGTTCCTGGGTTTGTTCCAGTTTCAGGGCTGTTTTTCTAAAATAGCTGATTTTCTAAAATTATTGCTATTCAGTTTGTTGGAGTTGGCTAGTTTCTGAAGTTCAAGAAATGTTAAAACCCCGAGGGGCTTGCCTGATAGGTTTCTCTTTTCATTTTAAAGTGTCTTTCAGTAAATGCTATTAAAGGGGGGGGGGGTGCTGTAAGTTATGAGGATACTTTAGAAACCTGGGAAATGAGCATTGGGCCCCATCCAGATGATGAGTGTCTCTTGTGATGTCAACTCCCATTGAAGTTAAGGTGCTTAGCACCTCATAGGAAAGTACTTAGTGTCTTCAGTACTGGGCCCTTTTAACCAGGTTCATTTTCTCCACTGTAAACTCTGATTAACATAAGGAGTTTTCTCTTGCCATGTGGAAACAGGCACAGCTACTTAATAAATGAATGGGTCACAAAGCATATAATATTTTGCTGAGCATTAAAGAACACTAGACAAATGTTCACTAATTAATGAGGAGATATCCGTGTTATTATATCCTACTTCCCTTACGAGTGCTACTTACATTTACTAGTTGCTTTGATTTTAAAGGATTGTTTCTTTACACAGGCAAAGAGTCTACTGAGTAGTAAAGAATTTTGTTACTAGAGAAAGAGAGTTATCATTTAGACAAATTCTCGAATGGATAACAGAATGGTCCCATAGAAACTTCACATGCTTAGATTTGCATGACTTTTTGCATAGGGCATAAACTAATTTGTAAAGTGTTCAGGAGGATAGCAGCCAACATAAAGCTATAGGAAAGAAGGGTTAATGATTGCCTTCAGTTTCCTGGAAAGATGTTAGGATAAATCTATTAGCAGGGTTTAAACATCCAATCTACCTTTGCCAGGACCTCATTTTCAGTTAGTGGAGTGATATATTTATTCATTAGCAAGTGTTGACATAAGGTAGCAAAATGTGTGTAAACAGAAAAGCCGCAGAACATGAATGTGCCATTTCGAAAGGAAAAGTTCTTCGTATCAGCCAATAGGAAGTGATTAATGCTGCCAATCGGAAACTCAAAAACAACTGGTTACTCACCAAAAAGTTTAATTTAAAAAAAAAATCCGTTTGGCAGTTGAACTCTGAATAATGTAATACATGGAACAATGACAGAGACAAACAGAAGTCTATAAGTCTGTCATTGCAGGTGGTTGTTACAACTGCTGGCTGCTTTTTTTTTCTTCTTTTGCTTCCTCTTTCATCAAAGCTGTTGTGGAGAGAATGAGATACACAGACATTAAGTTCTCTATCATTGCTATCTCCTGTGGCTGACAGAACCTTGCTGGGATCCTAGGTGTCCCAAATTCCTATATTTCCAAGCATTGTGTCAAATATTATTTGCCTGAGGTTGGTTAAGTGAGAGAGAGGAATATTAGCTTACAAGGGAAAAGTGTTCAAATCTGAACCATTTTAAGCAAGCAGGAGTCCTGTCCTCGCTATTCACCAGCGTTCCACCTTTGGGAAAACAGGAAGAGAATGTAGACTGTCCAGGCATGGCAAAGCCATTTTACTAGCCCAGTTAAAACAGTTAGCAAAGATCTTTCCATTTACACCTTGACAGTCTAGAAGAACTGTCTGTAGCTATTGCTAAGGAGAAGTGTATCTAACAGTAACCTGGACATCTCACATTGGTATGAAGCATGGTAGTACCCTATAATAATACTTACGCACTTCTGGCTAGGTCCTGCAATCCTTCACACAAACACACAATTCCAACGCAAGTGAGGGGGACTAATGCATGAGGAGGGGTTGCAGGATCAGGCCTTTACCTAGCACCACTCATGCAAGTATCTAAAAGCTTTTATAAATGTGAATGAAGCCTCCTAGCCCCCTTGTAAGTTAGCTTATTAATACAATAACTGTACAGATGGGTCAGCTAAGAGTCAGGAACGTTAGGTGACTTGGCTAAGGCCACACAGCACGTCTCTAACAAATCTGGGAACAGACTCCAAGATGATGTGCAGATTTGCTGTGACTTAAATGATTTTCACTAATTCTCTTATTGCAGATTCAGACCCCAAATGAAAATGCTCACTGGGGATGGGAGGTTGTCGGAGATGTCCTTGACTGGTCAGATATGCAGAATTGTAGAGGCAATGTGATGGGGGTTCGGTACAATGAACTCTTAAAGTAGAGAGGCTGACATACTGTTTATCTAAAAAACCCCAGTTGCTGTTCCATGCTGATGAGTTTTAGCAGAGTGAAACGCATGTCCATGGTTTGCATCCACGAGCTGGGTAACCATGACTCTTTCCCAAAAGCTATCACCTGTGTTTGGATACTGGTGGCCCCGTGTGCCTGTTGCTACTCGGAATGCTCTCCTGGCTCACAGCTAATTTATACTAGTTCTAGTGTTTGAGTTTGTGAAGGTGGCTGGTCCCGCGATTTAACAGTGTGTATTAAAAGGTCCTATCCCTTTTCTCTTATTTCCTTTCACCCCCACAAAGGCTGTGTATCAGGCTGAGCTGTCTTTACTGGCCGAGGCTGGCTGGATATGTTCCCTCTGGAGGCAGTCACAGAGGTCTCCCAAGAGCAATATGAGGTGCTTTCCCCCCACTTCCCCTAGGGGGTGAGCATGACCGAATTCTGGGGTAACTTAGCTCTGGCTCTAACTCTACACCCCCCCTCCCCTCTGCATGAGAGAGTATATAGTCTGGGTACTAGACTGGATGGTCGTCCACTGACTTCTGTTTGCAGGGGAGAGCTAGGATCTCTCCTGTGTCTGTCACCTGCATATTAGGATGCAAAAAACTACTCAGGCTAAGCATCTAAGGCCCGTGGATTGCTCATGGTCCTCAAGTGTTGTTGATTTTAATGGGAATTGAAGGTGTAGCAGGAAACACTGCACACCTCTCAGGGCCAGGCCCCTAGTCATTACACTGTTGATGTGAAGAACATGATTTCATGTCCTTCGGAAATGGCCCACTTTACAAAGAAATCTGGGGTGAAAGGGCTAACAGGTAGCAACTTCAAACGAACCACTCAGTCTTGGAGCGTTTCACTGGTATAAAAAAAATATTAAAAAATGACAGTGCTCCATACCAGCCAGAATGAGGCCTGGATGATGCTAAGCATGCAAGGCTCAACTAGCCAAGGGTTAACGCAAGGAACAGGAAAGGATCATCATGCCTTTTGCATAGCCTATGCCTGCTGGGGTGTAAGAGGGAACATGAGCAGTGCATTCAGTAATGGCTTATTCTAAAGTGAGGCTCGTGACCAAGCGCAGTTCTCCGTTTAAATGAATTGATAAAAGGAATTTATCTTGGATATTAGGGAGTGGGATCAATTGAAGTGTGGAGAGGGACCAAATCAGTGGGCAAAGCTATGCTCAGGCAAAGGTCCAGGCTTTAGGGAGGGTCTGAATAAGGCCTGATTTCTAATGTGCAACCTTGATGATGAAACAGGGAGCTGTTCGAATTCAAACTGTAGGGTTACTTTATCTCCACAGCAATTTTATGGTTAGGATTGTGTGTTTTTAAGTTAGAAGAAGTGGACATATTGCTATGACTGTCTCCTGCAGTCTTGAGGAATAGATCCCAAGTTACTTAAAAATGTCTGTCTGCATTGCTAGCAGAAGAATCTTGTTATATTTGACCCTAGAGCAAGAAGACATGTAAGGGGCAAATTATGGCTTTTTGATGTATGGCACAGGTCTCACATTGACTCCCAAGTGGGAGTGCAACATGTTCATGTCGAGGCAGATTAGAGCTGGATATGAAGCACTAGTCTGTAGTACAAACCAGTACCATATTTTTGACACCTGCATTCAGAAAGGTGTGAGTGTGTTGAGGGAAAGCATCAGCAAAAGCATTTAAGAGCAATCTCAAGGGAAAGATACAAGGGAGTCATCTGTTCAGATAGACAAGTGGGCAGGGTTAAAAAAAAGCATATTTCCTTAGAATATAGAAAACAAACTAAAAAACATTTAGAAAGTGTATAGTATACAGTATTTCACAAGTAAGTCCATTTCCTGTCTCCCCTATTGTTTTCAGTTTGATTAAGTGTATCCTGTTAAACTGTATATTCCTGTTATGGATTATACTTTACTCTGATAACATGAGATTATACACACACACATGTTTTTTCCTTAGGTTTTCAGTAGTGAGTGCTTGGGGAAAAAAATGTGGGGGACAAAAAACTCTAGCCTATTTGTGCTGTGGCACTTGCTAAAGAGATGGTTTGTAGCTGAAATGAGGCAATTTAGGGTGCCCTAATTTTGCGTAACCAATTGTGGCAACTTGCCAGCAGCCCGAGGGTTGCATGTACATTTAGATTTTTTTCTTGACGGCAAATGCCTTCAACCACAGTATTTCCTTATGTTTGCATCTTCCCTGATAGATGATTAAAAATTGCTTGTGTGGGTTCATCTGCAGTAAAAAGGTTGGTCAACGTTGACCTCATGCTGCAATTATAGAAAGGGGGCAGTTGCAGTTTTTGGACACCAGGGGGCCAAACTTTGCCCCTCCCAGAATTGAACACTTCTAAATGTCAAGAGGAATAGCTAATGAGACAGATTCCTTTCATCATAAAAGCCCCTTCCGTGGTGCATGGAGAGAATTTGGTCCAGGCAGGCCTTTTTAGTGCATACACAACACTCTGGGGAAGCCAAGTAATTTACAGTCAGTGGAAAGGAAAATGTATATGAGTTCTTAATGAAACTAGCAGAAAAGACAGGAACAAAGGAGTAAAGTTGACACTGGACTATTTGTGAGAAAAGTGGAGTATTATTTTTCTCTCTCTTTCAAATTTAATATTGCCACCTGGCCAACCTAGTTGTGTACTAGATTCAAGGTACAAAGCAGCCGTTTAAACTCTTTCGGAGCTCTGTTAGTTACTTAAAAGATGGGAGACCTGATTTCATTAACCCGTGACTTGGACAAAAAGATTCCAGCCCTTATATAATTCTTGCGTGCATTGAGTAATGATTAAGTGGTAATGTAGAGTTTAGACAAGGGTGATGAGTTTAGGGTGGATATATTATGATGAATGGCAGTGTCTGTGCAGACAATTAGTAATAGCTTCCTGTTGAACACTTTGGAATGTGTGTTCTGTTCTTGACATTGTTTACAGCGTGCTAAGAAACTAACATATATTAATTTCTTATTTTTTTCCTCTGCTGCAGCAGATTGTCCAGACTCTGTGCCTTCCTCCACTGAAACAGGGGGAACTAATTGTCTAGCCCCTGGGGGGCTTTCAGGTAAGACATTATCTGTGGTATGCTTTACTCACTCAGGACTCTTTACTCCTAGTGCACCTAAAGCTCCTTTTGGTTTTAGGCTGTGAATGAAGTAAGAATGATGCGGGGACAGTATAAGATTACAGGTCACTTAGGCTAGAATTTTCAAAGGGGGAATTAGGTTCCCAGTGCCCACTCACTTTCAGCAGGAATTGGGCACCTGGGGATGAATGGATGGACCCTATGGAGAAAAATTGAATTTTGGTGGGTATAGATTATTTATAGAGAAGTGAGCAGGTGAATTACAACTGTATCCTTGTAGAAAAATTCAAGGTCAGTCCCAGCCCTTGCCTTATTTACACAGGTGGTACCTTTGGTTTCAGTGGGGCTAATTGTATAGATAAGGAGACCAGTATTTGACTGGTGGTCTCGAATCTTTGTAGGTTTTTGTTTGGTTAGCGTAACTAGTTTCTGCACAGCCTTCTGGCTACAGTACATTCAATAATGGCATCAATGGAGTATATTATACCCTTACATGAGGACAACTGATCTAGTAGGTGTTTTCCATTCCAGCCATTGTGTTCCTGTATGATACTAGGCAATGGTTGCCTGCGACCTGTCTATAATAGGTTAGCAATCAGCTGAGAAATATTAGGGCAACTGTATATGCATTTTATACATCGGGGGCTATATTGTATTTCCTTCTGCATGGGACTGGCAGAGTGATAGAGAGGGCACATGGACGCCCATGCACAAGGGGTAGGTATGTACAGTATGGCTCTCAGATCTGGGGAACAGGTAGAGTGGCTGGCTAGTAACATGGCATGATCTGGGGAGATCTGTTGTGGTGTCTCTGCACAAGGATTGCTGTGTTGAGGGGAGAACATTTGACTGCACCTTTTGTACAAGTGTATGAAAGGACATTTCCCAGTGCCCTGCTCTCAGCACCCATCAGACCTTTTTGGCCTGATTTTCAGAGGTGCTATATCTCCACAGCTGGGGACTTCAAAGAGAGCTGCAAATCAGGCCTTTCAAAGGTATATTATCTTATTCACCTCCTTTCTTTCCCCACTACAGCTTTGCCTTTCAAGAGGCATGGCTGAGTCCTAAATGCAGTTACTAATACTATGGCTTGTATTATGATAACCAACCATAATTCGTCTGAAAATATGTACCTGCATGGTCTTGTGTAGGTTGGAAGATGCTTTCCTCTGTCAGTGAGTCTCAGTGATTTATGATTTGTGGAGCATTTACTCAGTTCATTGCCCAGTGATGGGAATTTTAGAAATATGTAGGTTGCTGGTTGCTGCTGGTGTGTGTGTGTGTGTGTGTGTCTGTGTCTTCTCTCCAGGAATTGCATTTGGTGTGGATGTCTTTAAGTGAGTCTTGTTTGTTTTTCTTTCAGTGTAATATATACCCTGCCTGTTATTTGAGAGGGAAGCATATTGTTTGTTCAAAGGCCCTAATGAGAATTAATCAAAGGAAGGGGGAGAAGGGCAACTTGTGGTTGGTCTCTCTCTCTTTTTTTGGAGGGGGCTATTGGTGGCTGTAACTTTAGGGAAGAAGGGTGGAGGGGGTTGGAGAAGGGAGATTGGAAAGAGAACAGAAACAAGAAGTAAAACAACACAATAAGGATGTTAGATCATTTTTTTTTCCTCGTGAAATATGTGGGGTGGGTGGGGAAGGATTGAGTTCCACAGGATACCACATGAAATAAGTAAAGGAAGTACTAGCTTTTAAAAGGGGGCTTTCTGAAAGGTTTGTGTTATTGATAACATCTCGGCTGTCTAGTCTGCCTCTGAAGGGACAGAGGGAGGTGGGGGTTTGGGCTGCAGGAAATAACATAACTTGCCTATGAATGCCTTCTTAAGGAGTTTGCTATGGAAGTTTAATTTCATAGCACAGCAAGAACTGGCAAAGGTACTCTACATGGGAAAGGTTTATTAAAATATTCTCTCTCACAGCTTCCGGAAGAAGGCACTGTTCCTTTTGGGGTGTATTTTTTTTTTTTTTTTTTTTTGGTCTTGGGTTATCAAAAGTTTTCCAAACCTTCCCAAAACAGGGGAAACTTTTACGATCATTAACCACTCTTTCCCCCCACCAGTGTAATTGTAGCCATTTAGTTTAATGAGGAGCCGATAGGAGTGTTGACTCATGAAGGGATACGGTTAGCTACGCAAGCCATGAAACAAAGCCGAATGCCTCCACATGAAAGAGCATTTGTTTTGAATTTGCTCTGATTTACTGGCAACTTGGTTCCACACACAGAAGTGCAGCTCTGAAAATTCCCAACTGGAGAGACCCAGTCAAGCAAGGAAAATAAACCGCACTTTGCAGCAGTTCTCTAAAGCTAACTTTCTCTTTTCTTTTTCTACAAACTTTGGTAGCAGAACAGTGTATTTGAACAGGGTTTTAATGAGCTATTGTCAAGGTGCACTTGGAGTGTTTTATTTCTGTCTGAAGGGAAAAGCTGTATCTTATCTCCATTTAAAGAGACAATGGTGTCAGATGCCATACATAAAGCATATCCTCTCATCTTCTTTTCACTCTTTAGAACTGGTGAGTTATATGGTGAGTTGCTTTATGACTTTATCCCAAAAGGATGTTTCACTGGATTAAAAAAAGCCCCAAATTGCTGTGCATCTGAGTAGATTGTTCTGACTGTCCAACTGCACAGTATTGGGATTGAATGGATAAGGATTGTGCTTCGGCCCCAAAGGCCCTAACATGAGGAGTCGCTCTGGCCACCATTGAGGAGAGCCACCTCTGGGGTGGAAATTGGCAGCTGTTAAACAGTGCTCAGCCACACTACACACAGCAGTTGCAGGACAGGGAAATGAAGACTGAACCAGTTGAAGGTAAAAAGGTGGGATATAGGAAGGCGGAAATGCAATCACCACAGATGAAATTTGAGAATTGGGCCAGCACACTGCAGTTAACATCCCTATTCCTGGGGAGTGGGGGCGCTGCCATGGCATCTTTAGAGACTGGGATGTTGCAAGAACGCTAATAAAACGAAAGCAGTGCATTAAAAAATGCTCATCCAGTCCTCCCGAAGAATGCAGAAAGCTGGATCCTTTCTTTTAAGGAGTCTCAGTTCCAGCTACGAAATATATATTTCATTCTTCTTCAGGAGGCAGAGGGCAATTTCATGGATGAATGGCAGAGGTACCAGGATAGCAGAGCTGAGAGGATGTGGGAGGGTGACCAGTGTGGAATGATGAGGGTAATATACTAAGAGCTTCTACAAGTGTTTTCCCCCTTGAAATAACCAATCTGAGCCTCTCTTTCACTTGCTCTGTTTTCTGTTTTTCTTCCTGGCCTAGGCTGTGCTGCAGTGAGCCAGCTTAATGAATGGGGCTCAGTTCGGGGTGGGAGGAAGGTCGGGAGCCTGGAGCCAGGGACTTGATTCTTTTGGCAAGGGAAGAAAAAAAAAAAAAGGAGCTGAATGTGAAAACGTAATCCCGTGGGGGTCTTCACAAAGGAACTGGTTCCTCCTGAAATGCACAGAGGTGACCTTTAATTCACTGGTGCTGCCCTTTCATGTTGTATGTGGCACTTTAAAAGGAGCAAGCCTAAGAGTGGGTGGGAGTGAGGTTTGGGAAAGGGGAGGAGGGAACTCTGACAGCACAGCCATACTAAACCGCTGGGACCTAGTTAACTTTGTTTAAAAAATATATATATTTCTAAAGGTTAAAATCCGAACAGAGAAGCCCATGGAGTCTACATGCGGCTTGGCTCAATTTTAGTGCAATATTAGTTAATCCATTACTCCCAAGGAAAAACACGCCAGTCTTCTCTCTCTCTCCCCACTCAGTCACTCTCTTTCTCCCTCTCCTTTTAGTCTCTGTCTCTCATTTTGTTTTGTTTTGGTTTTTGTTTGTTTTGCCTCTTTCCTTTGCTGACTCTCTCTCTCTCTGGCCCAGTTCAGTATTCCGTGCTTAAGAAATCTCCCACCGGACTCGGAGATGTTCCTGTCTGTGCAGTACTGAACTGGACTCTCTTTCTTTTAAACTACACCAGTTAACAAAAACACAAACAAAAACACACTGTAGATAAAAAGGAAAATAATTCCCTTAAATGGGGCGGGGCCAGGCTGTTTTTCAAATGTATCAGATCTTCTTCAGGAGATCTGTAGTTTGTGATTGTGCTTTAGTTTCTAACAAACAAGCTGCGGTCACATATGTTGGATAGCTCAGCGTCTGCTCAAAAACAGAAGTCCTCAAAGGGCCTCAGAGCTGCCACTTCATGTGTGAAATATGATGAGCTGGCTTGTGTCCTGGTCATCATTGTTTTTTATTAAGGAGTATTAATAAAATATCAGACTCGATAGGTTACACAGATTGCAGTCCCAAATGGAGGTGTCTTTGATGACATATGCTAATTTTGGACTGGATCTAGAGCCCGTGGAAGTCGATGGGAGTGTTGTTTGTTGTCTTTTTTGGGTTTGAGATCACGCCCTTGATGCGTGAAAACTCCTCGGGTTGTGCTATTGAGACCTTCCGTCAGGCTGTTCTGAAAGGCAGGCACATAACACTGTTGTAGCTTAAAACAAGCGTAACCCCTTTTCATTCTGGATTAACACTTACTTTTGTTTAAGACAGAAACTGAAGTGACAGGAAGCAACAGAGAGAAAATTGACAGTGCCTTTTATCCCCATTCCCTCACCCTTTCACCTCAAAACCTCATCTTATTTTAATGGAACACTTTAATTCAAGTTTGATTCATCTTTACTACAAAAGCTCCAATGTGCAGCTGACTGACATTTCATTATGAAATAGCGGACGGGCCTGGAATGTTTCACTATGACTTTGATCCCTTCTGGTATCTGTGTCAGCCTGGGAGAAGCACCTTTTTTAAATCTAGAACTATTCACAATAGAAGCACGATTATTTGGCTGGATCTACAGCCCTGTCCCATCCCCTCCCATCCCCCCTGCAAATTAGATGGGAGTAGCAGGGTTCTGAAGGTTTCTCTGGAGAAATCCTGACTGTCCCCCCCACCCCACCCCCTTCCCTCGA